AGCAAGAAGTTTTATCTTTATTTTATTTTTTTTACTAAACAAATGACTAAAACACAACCAAAGTATTAAAAAAAAAGGTCTGTGGTGTTTTTCTGTGATGTGCTCATAAGACTTTGTTTTTTTTTTTCATTGCAAATACTTGTTACTTTTCTTAGAAATAACTCGGCTGGGTTCCAAGGAAGCTGAGCTGGTTTTTGGGAGGCAGACGACTGATTGGTCAGAAACAACCGGACATACACCGACACAAGTGTTTTCTCTCTGAACTATGGTTATGCATGGTGTTTGGAAAACTGTGCACACAGTTACAAATAGACTAGTTAAATGTGTGCACAATTCTAAAATTCTATAAATCCCAAGGCWGAGATGAGGTTTGTGTTTTGTTTTTCTCCTCTCTGATAAAAGAAGGTTAATGAGAATAGCAAGGAAATGTATTTATCACTCTAAACTCCTATATAAAGATGCTCTGGTATCACAGGAATTTCACAAAGTGTGTTCAGGATGATTCCAGACAAGAAAATCAAAGTTAAGCTTCATGATTCAATGAAAAAAGAAGGTGTAGGCGTGTGCTCATGTGGACTGGTGAGTGCAGTGAATCGGCAGAAGCAGGTTTGCCTCTGCCGTAATGAAGCAATATCCAATGCTGCCTGATGATTCAAATGTGACTCTTTTTTTTTTCAAAACACTGCTCAACTGGAGTGCGATTATGAGCACTAACAATTTTGTTGTGATCTGTCTGGAGTGAAATAAGGAAAGGTCAGCGGCCTTCAGCCTGGAGACAATGCAACGTTCTCAGCAGTGTAAATCTTCTGCTTCTCTCCAGGGTTACTGGTGACGCTGTTCCTAACAATATCACAGTCATAGAGCGCATGAGTAGATGTTTTCCTGGCCTCTGTTAGTTGTTCTTCTGGGTGATAACAGGACAAACAGTTTAGGGATAATCTGCTCAACTCCTCAGACATTCTATACAAATGACGTATTCTAACAATTCCTCCCCGGAGCCAGACGGACGTAAACAGGAGACAGTCTCACGTACTGACCTTCTTCTTCCCACACAAGACACAAAACGTWTTGTTTACTGTATTATTCTGCAAATTACATGGTGAGGATTTGTGAATTTGGTATAAAAAARTATGATTTTTAGAATGATTCATGCATTCCTCCATCCATCTTTCTCCCAGGCACAAAAACATGCATTTAAATTCACCAAGGACACAGGTCAGTGGGTGGAGAGTAAGACCAATTCATTGTTGGAACTTTTTTTTTCTTTTTTTCCAGCCAAGCCTCAGTTTTGAGAAGATCTTGCTTCAATGCAGGACCAGCAAGTGTAAAATTTATCACTTGGGTGTCAAGAATTTCAGTCTTTGCTTCCAAAACAGACCGGCAGTCAGGGGAGTACAAGTAGGTGGAGCAGGGCCCGACACCCTTTTTTTTCCTTTTTTCTTTTCTAGTAAAGCACTGCATTGAGGGTGCTGCCATTCTAATTTACTAATGCGGCCTTTTCAATGAGGCTTTTCAGACTTTTAGAACGAAATCTTAGTATGTGAATCTCATCATCTCAGGTTTGAGTTTTACACAAGGATGCTAAGAAGAATCCAGAAAAAAGTTACGCTTCACTTGTGGGAATTCTTGTCTTAGGCTGACATGGGGAATGCCTGAAAGTTAGTGAACAAGTGCAGCAGGGACAAAACACGGCATTATGCCAACTGCAATGATCGTAACGGCGCTAATGTGTTTTTTGGTGCAAAGCCTCAGAAGCTTGGCACTGGATGCGACATGCTGGGGAGACCGAGTGTCAGGAGGAAGAAACAGCAGCTGCATGGGTGAGTGTGACATTCAATAGTTCTAATCCTCATTAATACAATCATAAATTGTTTAACTTGGTTTTAATTTATATACAGAACTCATTGGATTACTTTGCTCTAATGATCCAACTAAACTAATAGCAAAGTAAAGTTAGAACTGGGAGCACCAATCGTGATCATAGAGACATTAAATAGCATGTTTTTATGATTTTATGTTATTTTGTTAAAAAACATTTATTAATTAGTGACATATGATAAGMTAAAGCACTATGCTACAGTATGATGTCATGTTTTTTAAAACACTTTTAGATAAAATGTGCCACTACATTAGGTGTCAATTTCAATAATAATGTTCATGACAGAAGTTATTTACTGCATGAATGAACATGACTGAATCAGCTGCTCTGCTCCAGGCTGATCATCAGACATAATAAACTGCAATAAATGAAGTTAACGCAACACATTTATTATATCAAACACATACTGTAATGTGCTGCAACTGAAACTTAATACAGCAAACTGCAATAATAATAATAATAATAATAATAATAATAATA